TGTTTTCCCATTTTTTCCTCCTGTGAAATTCCCGCTTTTCCACAGCCTTTTTCCCGCTTTTTCTCCGTGAAATTCCCGATTTTCCACAGCCTTTTTCCCGCTTTTTCTCTGTGAAATTCCCGATTTTCCACAGCCTTTTTCCCGCTTTTTCTACGTGAAATTCCCGCTTTTCCAGAGCCTTTTTCCCACTTTTTCTCCGTGAAATTCCCAATTTTCCGAAGTGTTTTCCCGGTGTTTTCCCTTTTCTGTTTTTTCCCCCATTTTTCCCCATTTTTTTCCCCATTTTTCCCCATTTTTTTCCCCATTTTTCCCCATTTTTTTCCCCATTTTTCCCTCTTTTTTTTCCCCATTTTCCCCATTTTATTCCCCATTTTTCCCCATTTTTTTCCCCATTTTTTCCCCATTTTTTCCCCATTTTTCCCCATTTTTTTCCCCATTTTCCCCATTTTTTTCCCCATTTTTCCCCATTTTTTCCCCTTTTTTCCCTCTTTTTTCCCCATTTTTTCCCCATTTTTCCCTCTTTTTTCCCCATTTTTCCCCATTTTTTTTCCCCATTTTCCCCATTTTTCCCCATTTTTTTCCCCATTTTCCCCATTTTTTTCCCCATTTTTCCCCATTTTTTTCCCCATTTTCCCCATTTTATTCCCCATTTATTCCCCATTTTTTCCCCATTTTCCCCATTTCCCCCATTTTTCCCCATTTTCCCCATTTTCTCCCCATTCCCCCATTTTTTCCCCATTTTCCTCTTCCCCCCCATCACCATTTCCTTTCCTCCATCAGTTTCACCCAGTGCATCCCGCGTTCCTTCCGCCTCCACATCCGCCAGCACAACTTCCTCACCCGTTTCCGCCTCAAGAGCGTTTTCCGGCGTTTCCTGCGGCGTTTCCAGCGGCACACGGTGGCGGCGGGGAAGCTGACGGAGCGGGACGTGATGTACAAGTACCTGGCCACCCTGGAACAGTTGGCTCCCGCCTTCGGGTGCGAGATATTCCCGGTTTTTGCCTTGGAAACGGCGGCCGAGGCTCAGGCGGAGCGGGAGCGGCGTCCCGGGAACGGGGAGGTCACTCATCAGCTCTTGGTCAGCGGAACCGGAGGGGTCCAGTGGAGGCCGGCACCGGTGGAGGTCTGGGATAAATCCTGGGGGTTTTTTGGGGTTGGGATGGGGTGTTTGTGACAAAAATCCCATTTTTTTCTTGGGTTGGGATGTGCCAAAAATCCCATTTTTTCTTGGGATGTTTATGCTAAAAATCCCATTTTTTTGGGGGGTTAGAATGTGCCAAAAATCCCATTTTTTTCTTGGGTTGGGATGGGATGTTTGTGCTGAAAATCCCGGTTTTTTCTTGGGTTGGGATGGGACGTTTCAGCCCCAAATCCTGGATTTTTCCTTGATTTTGGATGAGTTTGGGATGGGCCATTCCTGCCCCAAATCCTGAATTTTCCCTTGGTTTTGGATGAGCCATTCCTGCCCCAAATCCTGGATTTTCCCTTGATTTTGGATGAGCCATTCCTGCCCCAAATCCTGAATTTTCCCTTGATTTTGGATGAGCCATTCCCGCCCCAAATCCTGAATTTTCCCTTGATTTTGGATGAGATGTTCCCACTCCAAATCCTGGATTTTTCCTTGATTTTGGGTGAGCCATTCCTGCCCCAAATCCTGAATTTTTCCTTGATTTTGGGATGAGTTTGGGATGAGCCATTCCTGCCCCAAATCCTGAATTTTCCCTTGGTTTTGGATGAGCCATTCCCGCCCCAAATCCTGGATTTTTCCTTGATTTTGGGATGAGCCATTCCCACCCCAAATCCGGGATTTTTCCTTGATTTTGGATGAGCCATTCCTGCCCCAAATCCGGGATTTTTCCTTGATTTTGGATGAGCCATTCCCGCCCCAAATCCTGGATTTTTCCTTGATTTTGGATGAGCCATTCTTGCCCCAAATCCGGGATTTTCCCTTGATTTTGGATGAGATGTTCCCGCCCCAAATCCTGAATTTTCCCTTGATTTTGGAATGCTCCATCCCCACCCCAATCCCATCTTTTCCCGCCATCTCTGCTGGATTCGGGACGCTCCTCCCTTCCTTTCCCATTTTTTCCTCAGTTTACCCAGACCCATTCCCAACATTCCCACCCCAAACCCAGGGTTAAAAAAAAAAACCACAAAACCCCCAAACCTGGAATTCTCCCCACGGCAGAGCGCGGAAAACTTTTCCCGGCGCGGATATTTCGGGAGGAAATCCAGGAGGAAGGAGGAGGAGGAGGAGGAAGAGGAAGAGCGGAGCGATCCCGGCTGGAGGCGGTTCTGCGATTTCCGGGAAATCACGCACGTGGTGGTGAAGGATTCCAGGGTCAGCATCCATCGGCAGGATAACGAGTGCCTGGTGAGTGGGGAGGGATTCCCGGGGTGGAGATGGGAAAAGTGGGGGGAAAAATGGGGAAAAATGGGGGAAAATGGGGGGAATATGAGGGGAAAAAAGGGGAAAATTGGGGGGAAAATGGGGGAAATATGAGGGGAAAAATGGGGAAAATTGGGGAAAGAAATGGGGAAAACGTGGGGAAAAATGGGGAAAATTGGGGGAAAAATGGGGGAAATATGAGGGGAAAAATGGGGAAAACGTGGGGAAAAAAGG